CAAGAAATTTAATGGTGCTATTTATTTTGTATTTGGTGTAGTATTTAATGACGAAATTGACAATTAATGATAATTGCACCATTTTTTATAATAAACATACAAACATAAGCACGTTTTGCACATAGAAAGTGTTATGGTGGAAGACACTCAGATCACCTTGCTGTCAATTCAGTATTTCCAAAAACAGTTTTCTTTAAATAGTGCTAAGTGGTTTCATAAGTGATTTAGTAATTTTGTGAATTGCAAATTACTGTTTAGTGATACAGGTGATTATGCCACCCAAGAAACACCCTTTCTATGGAAAGTCTTCTGCTGCTAAAAGAATGCAAGCACAAAGAGCAGCTGAAACAGAAGAAGAATGCAATCAAAGACTTCAAGCACAAGCTGTAAGACAGGCTGCTCAAATACAGGAAGAGACTTTGGAACAATGTAAAGTTAGACTTCAAGCTCAAGCTGAAAGACAGGCTACTCAAAGACAGCAATAAACTGTTGAACAGCACAAAACCAGAGTTCAGTCAGAATCATCAAGGCAAGATGGATATAGACAACAAGAAACTTCTGAACAATTGTCAAACCAGACTTCAAGCACAAAAATTAAGACAAATAACTTACAGAGAGCAAGAAACAGAGGAGCAACATGATGTACAACTTCAGACTCAAAGAACAAGACAAGCTGAAACATGATCTAATTTCAAATAAAATTTTGTTTGCTTAAATGCTTTTTTATTTCTCGCATCACAGCTTTTGTCTATGTGCTGAATAATTTGCTGAAAAAAATACTGATCTACACATTTCAAATCTAAATTTTCACCCTGCAACACCGAGTAACTCAGCTAGTAACAAATAAAATCACTGTTTTATAATTCTGCACCAAGCAATGACTCATAACAGCAATACACCTACCACATTGCATGATGTAACTTCCACAGCACACCAAGTGTATTTTGTCCTCTAAATTCACCTTTATCTGAAATTTTCAAAACATAGGTGTGAGAACCCAAAATACACAGTCAGTTTATAGTGATTTTCAACCATGAAAGTACAGACATGTTTAAGATTTTCTCTGAGCTCATACTTTGGTGATACTTCCTTACATCCAATATTTATATACACATAACATCAAGACTGTACATACATATGCATTTAGTCACACACTTTCCCTTATATTTTGAACATTTCATAAAAAAAAAGGATCAGTACAAAAAGTTTCCCTTTGCACATATTTTAAACTAAACTGAACTATTTCACAACCACAATAATAAAAAATGTTACTAAGATTAACACAACCTAACACCATGTCCTGACTTTCAAATTTGATTCTAACTGGTAGCAAGTTAATATTTTTCACCTTAAGTTATTATTCTAATCAAAACATGTCTATACAACTATGCAACTATAATTGTAATTACTGTGTAACATAATTTTACAAACAAGAACAACAACCACATTGCATTACCTAAGCTATTTAGAATGATGTACAAGGTTTAGATTTAAAAGCAATTACTAGGATCCCACTAAAAACTAGTCTTTAATTGTAATGAATTTGTGCAAGGCAACCAATCACAAGTTTCACTTAGGTGAAAAAAACTTATAAATTAAGAGTATCACAACCTGTGGGAGATATAATGTGTGATATTTTATAGGATTAATGTACATAACTTAAAATTGTAAAATGAGAAGTGTATTAAATATATAGGGTTCTCTATTAAAATATAAAACACTACAAATAAAAATGTTGGGTCTTCACTTGGTTAAAATCCAGATCAATTTTTTCATATGCTTTATATTTTATGATTGTTGAAAATATTAGAGTATTAAAGCATTTAAAAACAAACCTATTTGCAAGTTAAACAGAAAAAATAAAAATGATAAAATCTTTTGACTGATATTGTGACTAATTTGTACAATAAATTGTCACATGAGCAACACAGCATATTTTTTGTAAATTATAAATCCTGAAATTATTACATGATACATTCAGTTCAATTGTACTTTAATGTTTTTCATACATTTATATTTAATAGTTACTTTTGCATATAACCATTAGTAACTACACAAACGTATTTAAATTTCAGAAAATTTGCTTCCCTGGTGACATTATTCAAAAAAGACTTCTTAATAAAACACTTTCAGTAATATGCTTGTATCATTGTCATACTGAATAATAAATAACACTGGAAGGTTCCAGGGTTACCTAAACCTTTTATAATGCAATTTGAAGCAATTTCCTATTAAAAAAATACTACAATATTTCACAGTAATGGCCAAAAATTATTTGGCTGCATTTTGTTAAGTTGAATTACAATTACAACTCATTTGTTAACATGAGCCAGTAAAGAGCAAAGAAAAGGTAGCCTCATTGTACCTAACAAAGAGCTATACAGCCATGTAGTGCTTCCAATATTTATTAATGGATTCAAACACTATTTCAGTAACTAAAGTATTATCACAAAAATTTACAGCATAGATAAATACTCATGTGATCAAGTGGTAAATTGTATTATATGAATTAAAGATATTCCTGGTTGTTAAAAGCTTTTGTTGGATTTCAATAAATCTGAAAGGCAGAAGACTTACATAAGGTTATTGATAGCTATTTTGTTATCAGGTAGCTCTTTCATACTACCCATTACCTTATTACAATGATTCAGTACACCAATGCCCCCAATTGTTTTCAATACTGGGCCTGAGCTTGTTGACGAATACATCATTCCAAAATACAGTTTTGCATACTCTTGAGTATTATAATGATAATGATTAATAGTAGAATATCTGATCATAGTGCAAGCCACGAATAAGGCTTTTGAGAACCTGGTGTGACCCATAGGCTATCTACTGGAGGCCACCACAGTTCAAGATAATGAATTTCAGATTAGTTGTTAGCTTAGTCAAACTTCACACTTTCAAATTTGAGACTTTGAAACAAATTGTTATTTTTCCATTAACACTATTAGAATTTACATATTAAACTTTTAAAAGGGATCCTCTAAATTTTTTTATTCCTTTCCATTATTAAATATTCACTGATAAATTATCAAAGAATAAGAAATTACAAAACAAAAAAAGGCAAAAGTATTTTGTTGCAATTATCTTAATTTTTAACTTCATAGAAAAACCAGACCCAGTCCTTTATTAAGAAAATAATTTTACAGCTTTTAAACATATAATTGTAAATTACTAGCTTATAGCCAGATAGATAGGTAATGCTAAAGAAGGGTCCAGAAAAGAAGTCAAACCTACAACTAGTAATAACCTAAAAAATGGCCATCATTTAATTAACAATTCCTTACAACATTCTAATAAACAAAACAGTTTGTGAAATGGTTCTTGACTTTATTAAACTATGCTTTTTATTTCGGATGCTCTAACATCAAAGATGGTTTTTCGTGACAAGATAAATACAACCTGAAAAAAATGGGGATTCTTTTAGTTTCAGTGGTAAAGGATAAAAAAACTGTATATGTAACAGTGGTTTTTCCTTTCGTAGTACTCAATTTGTAATTACACAAAACAAAATTACAAAATACACATTAAAATAAATCAAATTATTGACAAATCTGCCATGGATGGAGTTTGAACCTGAAACCTTTGGCTGATACTAGTACTTTAAGATTGATAATTTTGATCCTGACTATAACAAAATAGTCCAATGCACTTTAGCTCTACTGCAACTGACATAACAATCACACACAGTTTACTAGGTCAACTACTGAATCAAGCATGTATACAGATACCATCTGCTCAGCTCAAAACTGGGATGATCATTGACTAATTTTTAATATAATGAATAAAATGCTAGTAAAACCAGTCTAAGGGGGTTGAGCTTGAGACTATTGTCTCATACTAGTGTCTCGTGACAAAAGGTCTTGATTCTGACTATTACAATATCCCCTTTCACTCTGATCAAATCTGATCCTTTAAGCCTAGAACACAGTTGAACACACTTTGGCTGTTTTTCAATATAAGCATACATTGTACACTAGGGCCATCCAGTGAACCAAATTTGTACATGTTTTGATTTACCAGTTCTGAATTTAGATGGCTCTCATGGATGGGATAATCTTTAGATGGGCCAATGTAACAAATCAGAATACTAGCACATCTGCTCCATTTGGGGCTTGAATGTGGAACTCATCAATACTCTCCTTCTTGAACATTGAGATGTGTAAAATATACTTCTACAAACTAAAGCTTTAAAAAGAACTAATTGTGGTTTAATGGTCTGTCTTGTTACACCATGCTTGAATAGATTAGTGATGTCTACAAAGGTTTAGGTGTTACTTTCTTCAATGATCCAGAATTGTGTAATATATGTATACTTAATTTGGCTCGTAAGATTCTGCTCAAGTATTTTTCCTTTTTAAAACAAAATCATGTGAAACATAGGATGATGAGTATTCAAATATAAGGAAATCCCTAATGAAAGTATTTGAACTCCATTACATGCAGAAAAAAACAGCGATGAATCTAAGTCTGGAAAAGAGGAAAAACTGAAAATAAAAAAACTAATCTTGTAAGTTTCATGTGATAATTGCTACCATCTAAAATACTTAGTAGTTCCCAGAAACATATACATATTAGCATGGTTATTATCACACTATGATACTTGGATCAATTGTACATACAAGAGCTAAGTCTTAATCTACAGAATTTCTCACTCAACCCATCTGTTCATTCCCAGATACACAAAAACTGTCAATTTTCTGTTGTGTATATAAACGTTTGATAAATTATTATCAGTTTTCTGCAATGCATTGTTTTAGCAAATATTTTAAGAATATTTTTTGTTTAGTAATGAAATCTATAAAGGTGCAAGTGTGCCCAAAATATTGCTTTAAATAAACAATAGGAAATCCTCAATATCTGCAGCTGTAATTAGATCTCAGATCAGTCAAGGGATGAGGCTATGAGCTAAAAGTTAGTACTTGAAAAAAAAAAACAACTCGGAACCATTCTATGAGCTGCTGTGCCACAACTAAAAATTAAATTGAGCAGTTTATTTTCTATTTTTGTTTATGAGTTTCCTAATAGTTTTAATGCTTTATATACTCAATAAAATACACTTCTTCTTGTTGTTACATGTTTAAATTTATCATAAAATACCTGAGTTTCAAGTGCAGCAATTAAACTAATTTTGGGCAAACTACTTTGAGCTTTAGGACTGATCATGATTAATTTAGGTTCAACACTGGATGCATATGTCACCAATAGATGATTATTCACATGCTGAATACCTGTGATAATGATAATTGAATAATACACCTTTGTTTTACACTGATAATAGTCTTCAGCCATATCTAATTAACAGTAAGGTTACACATAACACTATTTATATATACATATATATATTAACTGCATTTCTTGATGATAGAGTTAACACAAAGGATCACATATAAGGTGTAATAAACTTAATATAAGACCCAAAACTCGAGCATTTTCGAATAGTTGAATATTCTTCTTTTTGAAGAAGAATAGTCAACTATTCGAAAGCGCTCGAGTTTTTGGGTCTTATTTTAAGTTTATTAACTGCATTTGAAACTCCTGTCTGGAGACACTTGTGCAACTGAAATATTGTTTGGATACTTCATTAAATGTTTGAAACAGAGATGGAAAGTGGTAATTGATGATGTAACTTAAGATGAAATATCCACGAATTCCAAAAAGAATCTGTATATTTTAACACTTTAATGTGTGTTGATAAGAGCTAAACCAAAATATAAGCTGTAATTTTTGATAAATACCACAAATGAAATATGTCAGTAATCCATAAAAACATATTCCAGCAAACTATGGACCATGAAACAGCAGTATATGCATTTCACAAATACGGAGTTAAGTATGTTATATAATGTGATATATATAATATTGAAGTGAAGCAGGAGGCAAATTTAATTCTGTTACTAATAAAATTGATATTTGAAATAATTAATATATTATTTTCATTTGAAAGGTTTCCTTACCAACATTCTGAATGATTTACAAACTGCTCTTTGGACTTATGGCAACTTTGATCAAAACAATGGACCCTTAAGCATTGACAATATGCTTTTTAAACAAGTAAAAAGGCACATGGTGTATGAGGCAAACAGTATAACTTCTCTGACATTAAAAAAAAAAAAATCAGTGTACCATGATAATATGCTTTATATGTATATATATAGTAAACTGTTATACAAGCTACATTAATCTAAAACAATAGTTTCAAGACGGGCTCGTTTTTCTTGCCTCTTGCTTACAGTTGTTGAAGAAGCTTTTCTTTCTTTAAGAACAAAACAGTCATCTTCACTTTGTTGCTTTTGAGATTTTGCTTTAGACCTGGTAATGGGTCCTTGATGACCTACAACCTTCAAAGTAAATTCATCTTTATTAGCCCTTTTAGTTAGAATGTGTTCCTGGCTAGGACCTGTAGGTGAGTCTGCTTTAAAAGAAGACCCAGAGAGGTTTGTTGTTACCTTGGGGTCTGGATAAGTAAAAACACTATTAAGAGAGTTTTCTCTATGAGGAACAAACCTGTAAGTCTTGATAGTTTCTGTTGTTTTGGTAGGAGGAGACACTTGGGAGGAAGTACTAGTTTGAGGACCACTTGTAAAGGAGGCCTGACTGGAGTCACTACTCATGGAGCTGCTTCGAGCATCTGTAGAACTTTTCTTTCGCTTTCTTCTCTGAGCAAGAGGAGCTGCAGACACATCTAGAAGACAGAATCCTTTACGAGTGGCCATATGGAAAGCATCAAATGTTGCTCTAAGTGCAGTGTCTGCAACACGTGGAGAAGGCAATGAGCTGAGAATGCTAGGTGTCATTAATGGGGTTTCAAACACATTGCAATGACTCTGGTCAAATACCCATGAATGTGCCAGAAGATCCTTCATGGTAAAGCGTTTTTTAGGGTTCACTGTAAGAAGTCCTTTTATTACATCCTTTGCCTGCTGAGAAACCATATTCCAAGCAGAGTAAGAAAAGGAAAATTCTCCTTCTCGAATTCGTTGCATGATTACTGCTGAACTAGCTTCTCGACTATAAGACTGGAATGGTGCTTTGCCCGAAAGCATTGTGTACTGCAAAAAAAAAACAACAAAACAATTGCTTAAACATATTACTAATTTAACGCAAGTTATAATCCCTGAACAATTTCCACCTTCACTATGCTACAGTGTAGTTTTCCAAAGATGCCAGTGGTAATAGTTTTACTATATACAGGACAACATTCTCAATATGTTACAAATAAATTTATTACTTTTATGGCCATAGCAAATCAAGTGGAAGGTGGGAATGTGGAGAATTATAAGTAAGTGATACATGCTCTGCAATGCTTAAAGAAAATTTGAAAAATTTTTAGTTACGTGTTTCACTGACAGCTTGAGTTAAATAAACTCAACAAGGAAAAGCTTTCAGGATTTCAGAAGTAAGAATCTGTTTAAAAGTCATTTTAATTCTGAAAATGTAAAATTCAATGTGCTTTAAAACTAGGTTTGAGAATAAGAAATCTATTTTATTTTAAGGAGGACGTTTCAAAAACATGATAATTTGTTGTTTACAAGTTCAAGTGTTTGCCTCTGTTGTAATGCACTCAAATAAAGAAACAATAAAACTTAGAAAAGCATCTAATATTGATTAAATTATTCTAACACAATATAACATTGCTATCAAAAATTATGATTTCAGTAGAGTTGGTGATAAGTTACAGTTAAGGATTCTTAAAGGTCTGGTAATTGCAACATCTAGTTCAGTTTTGCATCAACACATTTTGGCTTTTCAACCTTTTATGAAAATTTGAGCAACTATTAAACACGGAATTAAAGTTTTGGTTTTTAATTTGCATAAAAAATGTTCATTCTTGCAGTAATTACCCTGTTAAGAAATTGTTTAGAAACTGATATTTACAAGTTTCCTGTTTCAGTCATGTTATTACCACTAAGTTTTACTATCTTACAATCATGCACAGAATTAAGTGTTTACTTGTACTAGTGATTAAAACTACATCAGATGGGAAAATATCTGATAACTAAGGTACTTACTGTAAAATATAGTCAATACTACTTCACAACTAAAACAGAAAGTCATAACACATCATAATTGAAATGGCTATAATTTTAACTCAATGTTATTATACAAAGAGGGGATCATACAGAAAAATTGTGAAAAACAAATTCAAAACAAACACAAGTGATTCTGGAATCAGCTAATTCATGCTGCAGTAAAACAAAATAAGCAGCATATACACTCTACAGTCAAAGGAAATACATGTACTTACAGATGCATTTTGATGTTAGAAATATTCTTACACCATAGTTTTAAATACAAAATTTCAATGAAACAAAGACCTAGGACTGAAATTCCAAGAGAAAGTAGCACAGAAACATTTTCACTTTGATACTAAGTTTATTGATATACATTCATAAAAAGTTGTAAGAAAAAGTACATGAGATTCATGCTTTAATTTGCAGCTCAGTAGAATAATAATCATTTTTCAGTAGACAGATTTATAATTACATAGTAAAACTGGCCTACAGAGTACAAATTTTTAACATACCATACAAGGATTTTGTTATATAAAATGGCATTACCATATATTACATATTAGGTTTGAGAACCTTTATGGACTGCAAGTGCCTTTTGAAAGAAACGGGGACCATGTTTCAGCTGTTTCCTTTTCTTTGAACAGGCAGTTGCAGTCCATTAAAGTTCTCAAACCTACTATGTCTACTCTGCCTAAAGTTCCACTGAAACTACATATATTAGATATGTACATATATTATTATCATTAACTCATAAGTGCTAAATTTTAGTTATTTCTGTTGAAACATATAACAATAAATAAAAAATATACATTAAAACTATGATATCTAGTACTTACAATGTTACAAAATCTATTGGCACTTGGGGAGACTTGGTTGCTAACCCTCGTTAATTTTCTCAAACTGAGGTGAACACAAATTAATTTTTGTAAATTTTTAATAAATTTCAGAAAAAAATTATTACTCACTAGAATAGGACATCAAAAAACTACTATAATTTATTTGGCTTTCCAACCTATGTATAAATAGGTTATAAGATTTAATTTCTGTTTGAAGCAATGATTTTAGTAAACACACTTTAACATTTCATATTGAATTTCGGCTTTCCTCACCATAAAACTGACAAACATCTATCAGATTTATGTGTCTCATTAGCTGCTCTTTCTATTGGTTATAAACATGTACTTAAAACAGGTAAGAGTTAGTGGCTTCAAAAGAATGAAAAGGTGGGAGGAGGCTTCTTTGGTAGGTCTGGTAAATATACTGATATCTCACAGCAAATCAAGAAGGTAAGAGGTTCTTATTTTATATTCTAAATTTTCAGTATGTAAAGTTTGAGTTTTTATTTGGTTGATAACTGTTGACATCGTATAGTACAAGTAATAAAATGTAAATTCAACGACTTATAGCAGGGACATGTCATGCAACATACAAGAGTGAATAATGAGCAAGTTTTTAATATTTCCATTTGAATTAAGTCTTAAAAATTATTAAAATTAGATTATTTATCTACATTTTGACACCAAATTAATAATAAAATAATTAAATTTTGAATGTAAGTCGTTAAAACATGCTAATTTTGACCATATCCATGCATATAGGGTTAAACAAGTTTGGTTGAGTATGAAATAAAACTAAGAAAAAGCATTGTTAAAAAATTATTATTCGAATTTTGGAAGCTAAATCTTAAGTGGATTTTATCCACAACATTCCAGAACTATTTTAACATGAAATTATTTTGAATTGTTAGTGTACAGGGATTAAGAAATCAAACTTTAAATTGAAACATGTAACCTTAACTTAAACTGATCTAGAAAAGATAATCAACATCATTTTGAGGTAATATTAAACATCTAAATAAAAACATTTAATACAATGGAGTAACATTACATTATGAATTTTAAGTAGTAAAGTCAAATAATCCATTTTATTATCTCTATATACAATAGTTAAAGATATTTATCTTGAAAATAGCCTATTTTTATAGACCAAACTTTATTTATCACAAAATGAAACCTGGAAACTAATTTTTGTTGTAAAGCTACTCATTGCAGGCCTGGTTTATGGCAGGTTCTGTGGGTCACCGTTTGTGTTCTGATTTGCACTGAGAAAGGGGTATGTTTTGTTGACCATAAAAAATGGAAAAATTGCATTTTTGGCAAAATGATATTGAAATTGGTAAAAGGGGTAGAATCTTTGTTTTCCTAGACAGTCCAGATGTTTTGATTCAGTTTCATTCTCAAAATATCAATTTATCCCATTAATCCATTAGTAACGTGCCCCTGTCCAGGTGGATTTGATATGATAACTTACCTGGGCATATGTGCAATATAAACAAAAATAATGTGTGGGCAATCTTCTTCTTCTCTGGAAAATTGATGAAAATGGTGTGCCCAACTGTAATGGAGTTCACAGACAAAAGTTTACAAAATGTGATGAATGCAGAACATTTTACTGGTATAAGAAAGCCTAAGTAAAGTATGTTTATTGTAGATGTCCACCTGCTTTTCATGAAGCGTTTAAGGAATCATTAGGTAAGTGTTTTCTTCACAAATTGACAGTCAAAGTTTGAAAACACATGTTCAATCACAGGCAATAGAATTAAAAATTATCCAAGCTTTATTTGGTCTGCCATTATTCCTTTAATAATTATGATATCAAAAAGATGAAAACCAATGACACAAAACTTCATTTCTCTACCTGTTGCTTTTTTCTTTCTATTTAATTACAAAAATAAAATGCACGAATAAAACTTGCTATATAAATTTCTTGAAATTTGAAAATCAAAATTAAAGATATATGTAGTTTTGTAAAAAACTTTCTGCATAGTTGCTTAGAACTTGAAGGAAACATTCAAAAGTGTATGTATTTTCTGTAGAAGTTATCAGACATATTCAGTATTTATATTGACTGAAATATGTTACTTTAAAATAATATTAGATTGTATCACTGTTTTGTTGTTGGTATTGAGTAACACTGAACGTCATTAATGTCAGGGTTTTGAATATGGACCGGGATTCTTTTACAGTAGGTGTCTGTGACTTGGTGATAAATACCAACAATAAACAGACAGCACTCAATCCACTTGTTTTAAAATAATATTTTCAAAACAAATCAAACGTATGTACAAAAATCCTTTACACTGTTGCATCATCGAGGTCACGTGACTGGTGTGGCGCCCTCTAGTTTCTAGAACTATCTTGTTCCTTCATGAATGCTCTAGTATTTACTAGATAGGGTAGATAGGGATAAGAGGGTGACAACGTGATGTGGTAATATAAGGTAATGTCTGTGTAGATAGTGAGTAATTGAACTGCATTTAGAAGTATTATTGACGTTCGTTGTTATAGCGTTTGTTTAGCGCGATTGTTGAAGTTGAGTGTATCGGTAAAGTTATATTCGGAAAGAATAAACCAGTTTTATTAAGTAAAGACTTGTGTCGTTAAAATTTCGTCGGAACAAAGTTACGGAAAAATCAATTAACAAACGGAGATGTAACAACACTATTGAATATCACAGTTGTATCTAAAATTCTAAATAATTATCTTTTCTTGTCAAAAATCCACAGAGGCTGATTCAATTACTTTAGAATCTAATTGACAAGACAAATTATTTTTCTCTACTCTGTTTCTGACTACACAATCTGAGATAAATTCACTTATGTTACCAAATGGGTTACCACAGTTGTATCCAGAACTTTAAATAATTGTCTCTTTTTCATCAAAGTCCACACAGGTTGGTTCAATTACTTTAGAACACCCTTTGACAAGACAAACTATTCTCTTTATCTCTATTAAACTGTGAAACTCTCTTCAGATATTGCCTGTTATGACTAAACTAACAAACACACAAATCTAACTTCACATTCACTAAATTAACATTTCCTGACTAATTAACTTGAGCTCACTTGATTGCCTATAAATATATACATTACCCAACTGAGACCTACAAACTACTAGATGCTATGATGTAACAATACTCACTTGAGGTAATGAGAAAAATACAGAAGGTTTGAGTAATATGACATCAAATTACAACTTCACGTTTTCTAACTTTTTTTCTGACTGAGCTTGACTCGCTAGTTACCTATATATATATATTGTTCACTGAGGCCTTCAACTTTCTATAAACCACGTAAGTGACACTATAATGTAGCAATACTCACTTAGGGTAATGAGAAAATACCAAAGATTTGAGTAAGTTAGCATCAACAATACTACAACAATTGAACCACACACGACGTACGACTCTTACTGAGTTATGTAACAAAATTTGCCAAAACTATCACCTTTAAAATAATTACTGTTAACACTCTTGTTATGAAAACTAAATAATCATTAAATATTATATCACTAAATGAACTAAATAATAACTCTTACACTAAACATTCTTGTATATCCAACAATTAAACCAAGCAGTAAGCTTACTTATCTTGTATTCTATCTAGTTATTATAGGTGACAAAAAATATCACAACTCTCAGAACAAGAAAACAAAAACACAATTTTTGTTTAGCCTTTGCATGCTGCATCAATCCATACTCAAAATTTATAATGTATTTTAATTTTCTTCTTATCTATATACATATAAAGCACAAAAATCTGTGTGTCTGTCTGTATGTCCATTATCTAACTACTTCTGGGTCGCTGGGTCAATCTCAACTAAACTTTGTGAGATGTCAGTTTGGATAAGATGTATGCTAATGTTCCCAACCGCCTCTAACCCCCATTAATGTTATTGAGCATTTATTATCTTTGATGTAAGTTAACATTAACTACATTCATAGATGGTGCCATGTTCTTACACTAAACCAAACAAAATGTTTGAAATTTTCTATAACACAAAATACACACAGTGTGGGTGGGGAGGGCACATGAGTGCCTTATATGTCTCAAAGGGTGCACTAGCACTTTATATGGAGAAATGCAATGCAAAAAAAATTGCTGTCACTCTTGCAATAATACATAAACTCAGATGTAGTTTATACTACAACAGCCACTGTAATGCTGATATGAAGAACAATTTCTTGAGTTATTAACACTTCCAACTTTGACCTGTGACCTTTCAACTTCATCCAGTAAGATACTAGTTCAGCTAATAACCATCAATTGATTAGTAATGTGAAACAATTTGGAAGGACAATAAGATCTGGGTGTCAAAAGCGAGTAACAGAAAGCACCCCTACTACAACTACTTTGACTGCTACCTCATCATACAAAGTCTTGACTTTGCACAATGTATACCGTCTTAAGTATATACATAGCGAGTTCTTAAAGCTTATATAAAACTTTGAGTGATATAATAATAGATACTATAATAATATGTGAGTAAGCCTATCATGCAATGTAGAGTGAAGAGAATTGATTGGCTTTCCTCTCAACAGTGTGACTAGATGTAGCCCTGCTCTGACCTAGCACATTTGTATACAGTTTGCAATACAAATGTGCTAGGTTTAAACAAGGCTAGACCTAGTCATGCTAATCGATTGATAGGCCTCAGCTAACAAAATCTCTTCACTTCACATTTTCACAAAGCTGTCAGCCAGACTCCTCCCTCATGACTTGTGCCCAACACAATGTTTTTTATTGTATGATCAAGCAGTAGGCCTAGAATATGAAAACCTAAGTTACAAGGATTGATTGAAGATATCTACATATTTTGATTCATCATTCTCAAAGGCTTCAGATTTTGTTCAAGAAAAGAGTTCAATCATTGCTAACAAGGTAAGTAACACTATTCTAAGCTTTCAGGATATATTGTATCTATTGTTTGTATTTCTTGAACAAAATTTGCAAATTGTTATCCTGTAAAAAATCAATAATTACTTGTGGGCCTACACTAGCTGTTTGAGGGGTGAATTGCACTACACAGACAGTACCACCACCACCCTAATTCTCACCATACTATGCTTTGCACAGTCAGTGACAACTCTCTAAGGTCCACCATCCCAGCAGCTAGGAACTGGTAAGTGGCAGAAAATGACAATCTCTGGTTCAACAACTATGTGAAAAAGGCTGAAAGGTGGGTCACAGTATGATGGCCTACAAGAAGGGAGTGGCAGATGGACCAACATCGAAAATCCCCCCCCACTTTCATTGACAGAAGGATATAGTTGAAGGATGAAAGGAATTGGATAAGCAAAAGAATACACATTAAATGAGGCCAGCCCTGCAGGTAATCCACATATAAAAATGAGGGGACGACACTCCTGGGTGAAAGAGAGACATGTGATTTTAGCAAGAGAAAGTGGGAATGTGGCAGAGGAAGAGGGGCCAGGATGTCAATTGATAAAGCAGAAGAAACCAGGGCTGTGCTGCCAAATGAGATGCCACCAACATCAAGAAGGATGTGTTGCATGTCAAAGCAAGAATGCATGGGAAAAGACAAACAGGTGGGTAGGCATACATGAAAAGGTGAGGCCAGTCCTAACTGACAGCACAGTTTACCAGGGCCAAAGGATGAACAAATGGGGGCCAGAAGAGGGGAAGTTTGGTGTTGAGAGAAGAGGTGAAGACATCAATGAGAGGCATACCCAAGTGAGAGCAAACCTAAGGGTGGAGAGACCATTCCATAGATAGAATCCTCTCTGGCCAAGAAAGGTGATCTGCCACCAAACTCAGAGGTCCTGGCATATGTCAAGTCATTAAATGAACTTGATAAAAATGAGCACAAAACAGTATGTCCAATGTGCAGATGTGGAATGAACATTTCTCTGGAGCCTACACATCAGAAATCATGTTGTTGTTCAAAGGCATACCCCAGCTCGACAAAGAAGCATCTGTGAAGAGATGAAAGATCTGGTCGAGGGTAGCAAGTGGATGATTACTGTGGTATTGGCACTATCAGATGTATCAAATATTGGGAAGGTATGAGAAAAGTCTAGCAAGGCTTGACAAACCAGTTTAGTCAAACCACCTCCCACAGAAGAATGAGTCCTCTCACAAGAAGGGGTGGATAGAAGCCAATCATCCCTGTAATAATGGAACCTCAGCTTCAAACCATGAACATGGCAAACAAATGCCCCCATGATTTGAATGAATACATAAGAAGCAAATGTAATGCCAAAAGAAAGAACCGAAAACTGGAAGACTCAATCCTAATAGATGAAACAAAGAAAACATCTGGAGGATGGGGCAATCGGCACAATTAAGTGCATCAGATATAAGGTGAAGAGATGATAAGTAATGCAGAAGGGAAGAAACGAAGGCAGGAAAATCATGCATTAGAAAGGGAATGAAAGGTTAAGGGATCTACCTTCCAAGCAGGTAAAAAGAGATTCCAAAGACTAGAACCCAAGGAACAAAAATGAATAATGGCTGTAAGTCAGGACAAAAGAGTCAGGAAGATAGACATGTTCAAGAAACAAGTGCACATGGTTTCATGTAGTAAACCACAGCAGGAAACGAAACACACAGGGAAAAGAGAAAGAAAAACATATGTGCCAAATAATGTCAAAGAAGAGATCAGAAGGGCAAGGATTTTCCTTCAGAGATAAAGTTGTGCATAGAGCAAACCCTGAGGGGGAACTAGCCAATCAAAATCATCGTCATCCTGATCATGTTCAAACTGCGGAGAAGGAACATCAGATGAATGGAAGTGAGGAGGAGGCCCAGTGTGCATGAAGGAATTCACAATACATTGAACAATGGCCATCAAGTCCTCCACAGACAATAAACATCCAGTAGCCACAGTAGATACAGATCCTGTGTTAGGAAGTGGAAGTTAGTGTCATTTGAGAAGTTCTAATGGCAGGTAATCATCAAATGTGTTTTTTTCTCTTAGTGAAATTAACCCATGCTGGTTATGTGAAACAAACACTAAATGAGATAAACTTGAAAAAACTTAATTTTGGAACATGTCTGTATTGTCTGGTGTATATGGAAGGTTCTGCACTCCACAGCTAAGATACACTGTCAAGCATACAACCAGTTACTGTCTCTGTTTTCAGCCTGTGGAAGTGTTTCTGCAAATGTTGCAAGTCAGGTATCAGTACACTGTAACAACAACTCAAGGCTGAACAGCAATCAGGGCTCAACAAATGCAATTAAGTCAGAAAACACCTAAAAACTGAAACTGGCTGGAGCTAACTAGCTTTTGACAGCAAATGTCATGTAATATATTAAAACTTTTACTTTATCCTCTTTCAAAAATTTAAGTTGCTCGAAATACATCATTTTTATATAATCCCATTTTTAAGTACACTAAAATCAACCTCTTATTTGACCTTATAAAACATCACTAACTGCCCATTATTGCATAATATCAGCAAAAGCATTAATAATACTAAGCTAATCTTTTTAAACCACTAAATAAGATAAACTAGCACAACATTAACCATTAATAAACTAATTGTTCTGTGGACATTACTGTAATAAATCAGATATTTAACTGACCAAACACATCAGAACAACTCACATTATTAAACATATTAGATAAATCATAAATAATTAGAAAAATAACCAGCATCAACATATACAACAATTGAACAAGTCAAGTAAAGTTACAAAAGCAAAAATAATGTTAAAATCTTTCTTATAAAATAAAATTTTTATTAAGTCATATTAATTAGTTAAAAAAATATAGAAATAAGAGCCAATCAAATAATATAATCATGTCACTAATTAAGGTTTTACTTTAAATATTTTTAAAGTTCACATTTAAGTGTACAAATGACAAATAAGATCCATTATACAAATTTACCAAAATCACTCCAAGGCTCCACAAGTCACAAGATTCATCATACCCATCTCCACTTCCAGCAGAGGCCACTACTGCATGTTTTAAAACTTCAGGGGCAGCATAGTTTAAGGTGAAACAGGGTGACTGCATTGGTTGATCACATGTCATTGGTTTTAGACGAGCAAATCCAAAGTCCACTATCTTAATCTCTGCTTCATCACTTTGATTTGTAAAAAGGAGATTCTGCATAGAAATACAAAATTAATTTTCTTAGTACAAAATATATAAAAAGTGAAAGTGTGTGTAAAATATTTTTAGGAGAAAAATATTATACAATATATATATACAGGCAATGATGTGATCATAGTAACAAAAACCTATGTTATAGGATTTTAAGAAAAGGATGATGTCAAGCAATGTCTCAACAAGCAAAATTTCAGTTAAACAGTTTTAAGACAAATACATGGATGGATTACTTTCTCTGTTTAGTATTTTTTCTATATTTCATTCATACATGTAAATTTAAATGAAATACAATATTAAGGTATGCAACCTCTTTAGTACCTGAATAGCACCTAATACACCTTGGCTTGACTACCTGTACACCACTGTATAAAAGTCATACAAAAATGTACATTACCTCTTCTCACATAAATAGCTATAATCCCACATTGAATAGGAGGAGGGACCAGTACAAGGGAAAGAATAAAGCATCCTTCCAAAGTGTCCGAAGAACACCCTAAAAGAGGAGATCCTCATATTAGAGTATCTTATGTGGAAGACCACACCACTTCTGTACCAGGTATACTCTTCGCCCAATGTGGAAAGAGGTGGTGATGCAGAAATGGGCAGAAAATGGGAGAAGCGCATCCAAAAGAGAGAGAACAATGGTTAGATAGGGATCCAAACCACACAATATCTGAATCTCAATCCCATAGATTACATGAACGTGAGTGAGAGTAAAAAGGATGTGCCCCTAGGTGCTGATTGGCTAGAATGCAACAGACCATACACGGCAAGTCAACTGCATTCAAAACTCAGCCGCTGGGAACCCACATCCATGCGGGGTAGAATGAGGATCATACCATCGGTAAGTCAACTACAATCCAAAACCCAGCTACCGAGAACCAACATCCATGTGAGGGTAGGAAAGAGGATCATACCAGTGACAAGTCAACTGCAATTCACAACCTAGCCACTTGGTGGGGGTAGGAAAAAGGATCATACCGTCTTCACCTCAAGTTCAGCAGACTGGAGGGAAATCTCGTACCACTGATCTGTGAATGGGACACATGATAGCAATATGATAAATTGATTGATCAATCCGGGAACCCAACATCCAGACAATCAGCATAAGAAAGATGTCCCTGTAAGATAAACAATCCCACTCAAAACCAATCTGATAGGAGCCACCTCTAGTGCAAAAACATCCTCGGTATATGAAAATCATCGAGGGATAGCATAAGAAGAAGAACTTTATTAATCTGCAAGTACCACCACTGTAACCCACAATATAAGTAGAGTGAACAAGAGTAGAATTGAGGGAAGGAACAGAGACACCTGTAATACATGTGTGAGGACTTATGTTAATTGGTTCAGCTCTAAATCCAAAACCCAGACACTGGGAACTGAAATCCATGTGGGGGTAGGATGAGGGATTGCAATTGAAGGGGTGAACTGCAGTTTAGATGGCTCACTTCAACGCTACAGCATCCCCTCAGATAAACCTGTACAGAGATGGAGCATCAGACTGAAGGACATCTTGTCATCTACACTAGCAGAACACCACTGTCCTACTCTCAACTGAATGATTTCATCATTGTTTGTATTGTATATCACATTCAGGAGGATTCCTCCATGGTCCACCACCCCAACGGCTTGGAACTGGAAAGTGGTAAGGACTACCATACTCCACTGGAAGAAAAAGGAGGTAGAAAATGTAGTAACCACAAAAACCCTATTTTGAAAAGCAGACCATACCTGATTTATTCAATCGAAGGAGTGACAGGGATGGGCAGCTATCCTCTTCTGCTTTACCCATGAAGTCCATGGGTGAGTCTGGTCTGAAATGGGCATATTAATGAAGCAAGTCAATATTGCAAGGAAAATCCTACAAGCAATTTTGTGGAACACCCCATCTCAACAGTGAGCATTGAATGGGCATGGAAATTATAAATATCAAGACAACATGGCCTGAAAGTGTAGATTTAACTATTTGAGGTATACTTTACCCAGGCACCACTCGCCACAGAGTGGGTTTTTTACAGGAAAAAAAAAGGGAAATGCTCCTGAAAAATAAGAGGTATACAAAAGATAACTTTCCCAGTCACAGTCTCACCAATGTCTGAAGAATGGCCACAGGTCTTCATTGGTAACCTTACGATGAAGAAACAGTGGTCCGATGCAGATAGTGAGAGTATGTGGTGTGGTCCACATGCCCGATTGAAGAATTTCTTGTAAGAGATGACGAAGTTGAGATGCCAGGGAAAAGGTAAGGTGCCTAATCTGATGAGAAGGCACCTGGTAAAAATTACAGGAAGAAAAAGACAAGGAAGCATAAACCAATCAAGGTCTGAACCCAATTAGTAAGGGTAGAAAGAAAAAGGTCACAAATGGTGGCAATCTGTCACGTAATGAAGAGATGGGAATGAGCACCAAAGAAGGAAGCTGTGTGGGCAATATAACAAGGAAGGGCATGTACAGGACATAGTAGTCTATCTGGATCAGATCGAGGATATAGGTGGGAAATGGAGGAAGGGAAATCAGCGAGAAGGAAGTATTACCTTCATGAGTCACTGAAGTTTTGGGAAGGAAAGAACGATCCAGATAAAGGAAAACACATGTGGTGTGAAGAGGGTACGTGAAACATCAATGGCAAATAAATCTGACCTACAACATCCACATGCCAAGAGCAGAAGGAATTGAGTCTTAAAGGAGGGGTGAAACAATGAGCTGGTGGATAGTCATTCAAACAGAGACAAAGTGAGGCAGTGAAGAACCACATTGACATCTCAATCCAAGAAGGACAACAAATCCAGAAGGAACAAAAAATAAGGAGAGGTAAAACTGTACAGTAATGGGAAAAATAGAAATTGTGGAATAAGGCAGCCTGATAAATTGCAATAGAGGAGACCGAAGACCCCTGATTAAACAGCCAAATGAGGAAATTCATAAGAAGAGGAACAGTGGGTCGAGCAGGTGAAAACCCTGACCCAAACACAAAAGGCAGAAAACATTACAGTTACATTGATAAACATCCACAGAGGAAGGGAAAGAGCTAAAAACGAAATGACTCACCAGGACAATCCAGAACTCCTTGCCAAGGACCAGATAAAAACCAGGCATGAAGGGCTGGATGAAATGCCAGTGACTGAGGTTTATGTTAAAGGGATGTAGTAAGAGGAAGAAGTAATGGTGAAGCTAATTGGAGCTGAAGCAGCCACGGTTGTGCCAACCAGTAAGTAGCAATCAGAATGACCTGACACAAAGTGGCACAGATGATTAAAATCATCCTGGGAACAAGAAAGATGAGAGGATATACATAAAGGTATTTCTTTGTCCAATCCTGATTGAATGCATTGACAGCCAGTGCAAATAGATGAGGAGCCAGATATGAAAACAGAGGTAATTTGGTACTGACGGGTGTGGCAAATGCATCCAGGTTAGGAGTACCTCACCAAAGACATAGCCACTGGAAAATGAGAGGATTGAGAGACCACCTGCAACCTGTGTAAACGTGCTGATAGATGGTATTACCTCCGAAATGATAACATGGACTTTGGAATTCACTGTTAACAATGAATGATCAAAAACAACAGTATAAGAATAAAGAAATGAAACTGGGAAAGAGTAAATTATCTTTAAGTTCACAAACTGTTTTAAAATTGAAAAGAACAATTCTACTTCAGAATGAATTGCAAAAGAAAATGCACTAAGTTTAAAGAAAAAACATGATTGAAGAACACAATAAAAAACGTCTTGACACAAGCACTGCCAAACAAGAAGTGATAGTTTGGTAGAATCGAATATAGGGAGTCACATGCATCAGGAGGGTGTGTTGCACTTCTATTGGAGAGGGTTGTTGCATGATGATTTACATGCACGATGCAGTTGAACCATGTTGATCGTATGGTATATCTGAATTCCATGCTTATGGCATGCAAAAAACATTTTGCATATAGAGGGCAGCACTGAACGAGAATAGCTATTTATGTGAGAGGAGGTAATGTACAGTATCGGAAACATCTCAATCTTACCATAAAATTAGCAAGAAGCACAAGTATTTATTCAAATCTACTAAATTTTCTTCAATTCTAATTAAGAATACAAGAACTAATGAGGATAAATAGGTTTTTATGCAAAACAATAAGTAGATAACATTCAAAAAATAAAAATAAGATAGAAAAATATGCCAGAACATAATTTTTTTCCTGGATGTAATGAGGAAGTGAAAACCATAATTACGAGTCTTAAATATTGAAAAAGTCAAGGGTATAATGGAATATTAGTGAGTATTGTAAAAATAAAAAGTAAACTTGTATCATAGAAACAAGGGTAAATATTTATATCTTATCTTTTACAACAAGTACTTTTTACAGAGAATCTAGGAAAAAATAATTCTGCCTTACAAAAATAGAGACAGGAATAATTATGTAAATTAATGACTAATTTTGTTGTTATTAGTATTTTCTAGACTATTAGAAAAAATAGTTAAAAGTAGGTTAAATAAAACTTTTTCTCTAAAAATCAGTAAGTTTTTAGAGAAGGGTAAACCCTGAACATGCTCTATTACATTTCATACATAATATTTATAAGTTCTTAGATAATGATAAAATACACTTGAGTGTTTTCTTGGATTTAGAGAAGGCATTTTATACAGTAACACAAAAAGATTATTAGACAAAATGGAAATTTAGGCATAAGAGGTATTAAATTAAAATTAAAAAGAACACAGATAATAAAAATATATATAATACTTTTAGTGTTAAGATAATAATGATGTACGGTGTTAGACAAAATTCTGTACTTTGCCCAATATTAATTATAATATATGTATATAAGTGATCTATAGTTAAATTGTAAAATTATTATGTTTGCTGATGATGCAGTGTTAAGTTTTGCTATGCTAAAATAGAAGAATTACAAAAAATATCAGATGAATACTGGTTTAGAAATAATTGTAAAGTGTTTTATATAAGCCAATTAATTTATTAATATTATTAAAAGAAATATATATTCATGAG